TGTCTCCCCATTTACCTTTTAAAATTGAGCCATGAAGTGTATTTGGTAAATTGCAGCCTGCGAATCTTAAGTGGCAAGAGTTGTGTAACAACTACCGGAGATTGTATAGCTTGAACTTTTCTAAAAATTTAGTATGTTGAACACACCTACTAATGCAAGTTTTTAATAACATCTGACACGGATTTTAATGTGAAAGAAAGTATGGTTGTGTTACATATAATCCTTTAGGCTTTTGTAGTTTGGGTTTTGGTTTTTTGTTTGTTTTAATGTATTTGGTATAGGATCTCACTGCGCACCTTGGACTTAATAGTGACCCTCCCGTTTTCAGCTTTCCCAGTGCTGGGATTACAGGCGAGCGCCACCACCCGTGTTCTCGGCAGCCAGCTCAGCGTGCCTGTGGTTGGTGGCGGGTATTAAACCCGAGGCCCTGCACTTGGCCAGGCAGGCCGTTGGTCTCCTGAGCTATCTCGCTGGCCCTGGATTTTGTTCCAGTTTTTGTTTTTCTCAATATTGTAAGTGATACAGGCTATCTGGCCTCATTTATGGGTTGTAGTTCTCTAAATCTCTTTACATGAAATTTCTAGGTCTAGACTACTGTAAGAGGGCCGGCCAGATCGCTCAACGGATTAAAGCACCTGCAAGCAGGCTCACGAGCTGAGCCGGGCGTTCAATCCCAGGGCCTGCCGTGCCAGCCCCGCCCCAGGCACTGAGCCGACACACTGAGACAGGGGTGGTGGTGTGCACCTGTAATCCCGCTTTTGGGAGGCTGTAAACAGGCGGATCACTATGAGTCCGATCTAGTAGTGAGACTCTGAACTCCCTGGAGAGCCTTCCGGGGCAGTTTAAAAATACAAAGTAAACAAACAAACAAAAAACAGACTACTGCAAGCCTTGGATCCACCTGTATTATTTCCCTCCAAGAAGCAGCAGTGTCTGTAACAGCAGGAATTTCGAGCGGCTGATAGACCCATACCAGGGCGGGTATCGGGATGTGTGTACTGAGTTTAACCTCTGAGAGGTGCAAATGATAGGGTTGTTTAAATTTGCAGTTTAGAAATGCAGTTATTTTTATGCAGATTGCAATTTTTTTTGTTTATTTTTGCTTTTCAGTACTAGGGGTGCTAGGCAAGTGCTTTGTCACAGAGTTATATAACTCCAGCCCATTAATTTTTAAATTTTGTATCTTATAACTAAGTATATGTTTGTAACTGTGTTCACAGGACAGACATAAAAACATTCCCTCTATGTTGGGGTGTTTGACATTGTTGGGTGAGGGGCTTCTGTTTCATGAAACCACAATAATGCTCATGTGTTGTTTAATACTTTTGTTTTATTCCATGTGTATCTTTTCATTCTTTTCCACATGGGAAGTCCATGCTGTAAGTAATTGAATAATTAACCCTTTCTTCCTTGATATAAAATGTCATTCTTTTCATATCCTGAATTCTTTTTTTGTGCTGCTGGTAATTGAACCTGGGCCTTGGACATGCTACATAGTGCTCTGCTACCAAATTGTACCCTCAGCCTCTGAGTTCTTACACTTGGATTTTTTCTGAACTGTTCATATGGGTGGGATTTTAATTAGTTTTGTTGATCCTTTTCCCTTTTAGATTATGATATCCAAGAGGGCAGTTTTTCTGCTTTATTCAAAGCTCTACTCACTGCCACTTAGAATGGCTTGGAATGATGTTCCTTCTACACTAGGCTGACTGTGTAAGTTTGGTGAAGGAATGATTCTTTTATAATACTAGGTTCTTATAATTTTTTAAAAATTACTGAGCACCTAGTGTGTTGGCTCACACCTGTAATCCCAGCACTCAGGAGACTGAGGCGGGAGTATCACTTCTAGTTCCAGGCCAGTCTGGGCTGCAGAGTGAACTCAAGGCCAGCCTGCACTACACACAGTGAGACCCTGTCTCAAAAAAAAAAAAAAAAAAAAGCAAGCTCTCATTCATCAGTATTCATTTTATCATATTAAAATTTATAATGAACATACTGTACATATGCATGTGGTCCAGCGTGATGATATACTGCTCTATATAATGAATAAGTCAGGGTAATCGGCGTATCTGTGACCTCAGATATTTATTATTCCTTTGCATTGAGCATATTAAAAGCCTTTTCTGGATCTTTTGAAATATATATTGTTATTATTAACTATAGTCACCCTGCTGAGCTCTAGAGCATTAAAACATCCCTCCTATTGGTATTTTTATAACTGATAACCAATCTCTGTTGTATTGTTGCTGTATGTTATGGGTTGGTGCCAAAAGAAAGGACGAGAAGACCTGATGAATGTAGCTTCAGAGTCTCACTGAGATTAGTCTCTCCAAGTGAGCCCTGAGCCTCAGCAGCATCTCACATTTATTGAGGGGTGAAAGCAGACTAAGGAATGTGCATAATTACTTAAGTGAATACAAACTACTCTATTGACCTCCACCATTTGCCTAACACTAGGTCCACACAAATGTTAGCTGATAACATCCCAAGCAAGGGATCAAAGAACAGGGCGCCAGCAGGAGAAGCTGCTATCTGCAGCCTTGAATCCCAGCTTGCCGGGATTTTACAAGTGACAGACAGCAGCTCTCCCTGGGCTCTGTCTATTGCTGCCTGCTCCCTTGGGACATTAGGCTTTTGTCTCATATCTATAGTTCTATATGTTATTCTTTTGACAGCCTCTGGTATCTAGTATTCTGCACTGTGCTGCTGTGAGATCAGTGAGAACTTGTGATATTTGTCTTCATAGGTACTTCTTAAAAAATTTTCTGGCTGCTGTATAACATAATTAAATTTAATCATTTTTTTTCCATGACTACTTTAAAATATTTTTACTTAGGAATAGGTTGACTAGGATTATATTAAATTTATACATTAATTTCAAAGAATGACAAATTAGTAAATCAAGATTATCCTACCCTGGATTACAGCAGGTCTTTCAGTTTTCATCTTCCTTTATATATCTAAATAATCTTAATAAAGCAAACTCTAAATAAACATTGCTGTTTTCTTTTTTGAATACTGTGGGGTTTTTTGGTACTGGGTATCAAACTCTCAACCTTGTGCTTGCCAGGCGGGCGCTTGCTTATGCCACTGAGCTATCTCCCAGGCCCATGTTTTCTTTTTAAATCATGTTTGTATGTATGTATGTATGTATGTATGTATGTATGTATGTATTTGGTACAGGGTCTCATTACACAGCATAGTTTCGTGGTGATCCTCCTGTCTCAGCCTCCCCAGCACTGGGATTATAGGCATGTGTTACCACGCCCAGTTTTGGGTCTGGCATGGTGGCACAGGGTACAGTACCAGGGATTGAAACTGGATCCTTGCACTTGCTGCGCAGGTGCTTAGACCACCAAACTATCTCCCCAGGCCCCTTGTTTTCTTTTTAAAGATTCTCTATATCTTATCCATTGTAGGTATTTTTATTGCTGGTGTTGCGAAAGTGTCACTTCTCTGGGCTTCCTGTCCTTGTCTTCCTTCTGCTCTGCCTCTGCACCTTCCCTAGGAAGGACCCACAGGAAGGGAAGAGGAGACAATGGCTGCTGGGCCTCTGCCTTTGGGAGCTCAGGTGAGCTCCTTTTTCTCTCTCCTTCTCTCTTACTTCATACAGTGTGTGGGATTCACTGCAGAGGGTAGGACTACTGGTGTAGCAGAATGTTGGGTATTTCTTACAAAACTCTTCTGAGTGTCCTTTACTTCTGTTCTCAGATACTAGTGAATAGCCTGGCCTGCTGAGTTCTTGATGATGTTCAAGGGTCAGAAAAGGGATGAAAATCTTATTCAGTTTCCACAAAGCATTAATTCCTGTTGGCCACGATAGAAATAACAATTATGCATAATTACAATTACAAAATTACAATTTTGCATGATTTGAGAGAAAAGTGTTTAGCTTAACCCCTAGACCTTTGGAGATACTGAGTAGGTGCTAGACATCTTAAGTGTTATTCCAGCCAAGAGGCTGTGTTTTAGAGTGTCAGTGGTGGGGTGAATGCAGCAGAGACTGATGGTCAGACACGCTGGACTGCAGTGCACAGAGTCACAAGTGCCACAGAAGAAGAGTTTGTTAAGTGGACTGGTGGGCATGGGGATGGAAGACGAGTCTTAGAGATGAGTCTGAAGAGTTCTGGTAAGGGAAGTCACAAGGTAAAGGCTTTTCTAGGTGAGAGCAGCCTCTGTCAGAAAGAGGGAATCAAGGAACTGAAGTCTGGTGAGAAGCCCAGAATTTTTTTCCCTGAGAGTTTTTTTTTTTTTTTTTTAATTAGAATTTATTAGTGTATCCCAGAACCTGGAACTATTTTTCTGAAAAAGGAAGCATGGTATCAGGAGGAGATCATAGCCCTAATGCTTTTTTAATTTTCTTAGAGTTTAAGCCTACTTTGTTGCCTGCAGAGCTAAATATGCTTTCTTTTTTTGAATGATGATGTATTAGGGTTTTCTTAATTCATCATTTATTTACTTATCAAAGAAAACAGTTTAAGAAGGCTTTGTAGAGACACCTATGAGGTATAAACTGTTACAGTGTCTGTTTGTAGTATTTTCTCTCCCCAGTGTGATCAAGCTCATTTTAAAAGACAGAATAACTCAGCAGCTGTAGCTGTGGCTCAAGGGCAGAGCACTTACCTAGAATATGCAATGGGTTAGGTCCCAGAGCCACTACCACAGTAAGTAGTGAGTGTTAAGGAAGGAAGTTTCTGGAAGAGGGAAGATTTAAGGGGCATATCAGAATGGGATGTTCAGGATTCTCACTGGTGAAGGTTGTAGTTTGGTTATTGACTTGGTTATTTACTTAGTGAAAATGATGTTCATTGAATGCTTAAATCCTTGAGATGTAATCATACAAAATACCTCACTTGCAGCATGAAATTTTTTATTTTGACAAATTTTACGCACTAAAACAGCTATCATCCTGATCAAGATGTAGGACATTTTCATCACCCTAGAAAGTATCCTGCCTCCTAGTCATTACATCAAACTCTTGAGACCGAGAGGTCTGTGTAGATGTTAGCTAGAATGTGGAGGGCCAGTCTTGCGACAGTTCCCAAAGTTGCCATGGCCAGACAGCAGTTGGAGAAATGTCCCCCAGACCAAAGGGACCAGGATGTTTAATAACACAAGTTTGAGGAGAA